CACAAGGCCAGTATGTATTAGGGACTTCCAAGTCTGGGCTGATTTTTGCCTCTCAGATGCTATCATGGTGCTCATTTCACAGATGAAGAAACTGAGGCGCTTCAAGGTTACACAGTTTGACCAGGGTCACATAGCTACTATTTGTTGGAGGCAGTATTCAAACCCAGGTCTTCATGACTCCAAGTCTGGTGTTCTATCCATTCCTTCCATCCCACCTTCTGTGATCCCATAAACAGACTGGTCTGTAACAGATTAGCGGCCGGGGGCTGAATTAAACTACCTATCCATTTCTTCTGATCCAAGCACTGAGGACGTGTGGTATAGTATAGGAGACCCCAGATTTGGAGCCAAAGACAGGGGTTTAATGCCAGTTTTGTTACTTTCTGCCTGTGTGACCTCTCTGGGCATCAATTTCCCTTACTGTAGATGAGGGAGTTGGCCTGGATCCTACCTCAGACCCTGTACTTCTCTAAATTCTACGCTCCCAAGACTACATTCAGTGACAGCGGTAACAAAGCCCTTGCTGTAGTGAGCTCCTCACAGGAGGTGACAGTGGTTTTTTCCAGGGTTACAATATCCATCCCATTCATTACCGGTGGTTGGTTTCCATTTACCCGTGCTGCCGTCATCGGGGCAGAGTTGTAGCATGGAGGGGGTTGTGGCAGGCATTGGGGGTTAACATGAATCGGTCGAAAATTCACCAACCTTGTGGTCAACACACCTGGCTGGGCAAGTCATTTACGCTCTGGCATCCCAGCTCCCTCATTGTCTTGAGGTCCTCATGTGCCGGGCCTAGAGTTTATCTCTGTTGTGAGGTGCCAGAGGCGAACAGACAAGACACCTGCACCCTCTTCTTGGGAAGCTCATAATTTAGCTCAGTGGATAGGACGCTAAACCTGGAGTCAGAAAGACCCGAGTTCAAATCCTACCTCAGACACTTACTAGCTATGTGACTCCGGGCAGGTAACTTCACCGCTGTTTGCCTCAGTTTCCTCATCTGTAAAATGGGGATAATAAGAGCACCTGCCATCCAGGGCTGTTGCGAGGATTTAATGAGACACTATTTGTAAAGTGCTTTGGAAACCTTAAAACACTACATACATGCCAGTTATTATTATTAGTTAGCCTAGACTGAGGTAGCTGGTAGTATAGTGGATAGAGCACTGGACCTGGGGCCAGGAAAACCTGAGTTCAAATTCTGTCTCAGACACTTACTGGCTATGATGATGCTGGGCAGGTTACTTCACCCTTGGTTGCCTCAGTTTCCTCATCTGTAAAATGGTGATAATAATAGCACCTACATCCCGGGGTTGTTATAAAGATCAAATGAAATATTTGTAAAGCATTTAGCACAGTGCCTGGCACACAATAGGTGCTGTGTAAATGCTTATTCCCTCCCATTTCTTTCCCTACATGTACACCTCACTTTACAGAGCAATTGTGATGCCAAAGAAGACGTGTCATCTAAATTTGTGTAGCTGGAAATCAGTTTCTCCAATGCCCAGGCTATCCAGTTCAAACCCCACCCCCAATTCTTTTTTTTTAATTGATGAGGAAAACAAGTCATAGGGAGGGTGACTTGCCCAAGGTCACACAGGTAGGATTTGAACCCAGGTCTTCTGACTTCAGAGCCAGGGTTCTTTCCACTGTATCATGCTGCCTCCTACCTAGAGACTGATCCTTTTTAGTGGAAGAAGAGGGAAATCAGGGCAAGCTTCATGAAGGAGGTAGAGTAACATGGGCTAGTCCATGAAGGAAGAGAGAAGGAAACTGAGGCAGGGTAAATGGCCCTCCCAGGCCCAAGGCATGGCACGAGCCAAAGAGCCCCTGGAGAGGGTGAGAGGGACAGATTAATTCATTTTGACTGTGAAAAGAACATGTAAAGGGCAGTAATGTGAAGTAAGTCCTCAACAAGAGGTTGGAGCCTTCCCTGTTCTTCCTGACCCGGTTTGTCATCCTCCCTTGAGGGCTGGTCCCAGAGTGAGGGCTCTGCCCACTTAGTTCAAGTCTTCTTGCTCCCCAACCCCACCAGACTTCCTGTCAAGGAATGTATCTACCACAAACATACTCTTCTTTGCAATGGGGGAAATGGGCACTTGTGAAAAGAAGAAATGTCTTTGTAAGGTGAATAATTGCCCTGTAACTTTACCTGGTTGGTAAGTGGGGGATCCATATCTTTGGTTTCCTTAATATGGAGTCAACTTGGATTCCTTGGGCTGGTGCTTCTGGGCTGTCTTTTGCCCCCATCGCTAGGATATTTGAATGGGAACTTAGAGATTGTTTCCCAAGTCCCCTAATTTGGGAGGTGGCATATATTGGAGAATAAAATTCTGGGCAAAGGATTTTTCAGTTGATCTATATCATTCCCCATCGCTTGGAGATGAATATAAGAAGTAGAATTCAGGAGTCCTGGATTCACGTTCCAACTTTTCCATTGACTTTCTTTGTGACCTTGAACAGCTCCTTCCCCTCTGTGGGCCTCAGTTTCCTCACCTTTGAATTGGAGAGAATAATACCTGGTCCATCTTATCTACATCATAGGTCTGTTGGGAGGATCAAGGGAGAATTGACAGAAAGGATGAGGTGCCCTATGTAACTCCAATATTGGTATTGGTTCCTAAACCAATGTCACATCAGAACACTCATAGATTTCCCAAAAAGGATCAAAAGGCATCAGTGATGCTTCACATTTTACAGATAAGGAAACTGAGGTCCAAAGCAATGAAATTGACTTACTCATTGTACCAGAAAAGAAGCACTGTGGGTGTTGTAGGAACCAGACCAGACTTGGAGTCAAAAGACCCGAGTTCAGATCCCAGTTCTGTCACTTACTAGCTGTGTGACCCTAGATAACTCACTTAACATCTGTGAGCATCAGTTTCCTCATCCGTCAAATGGGGACACTATTCATTGTATTCCATACCTCACAAGGTTATTGTGAGTAAAATGATTTGTTAAGTTCTAGAGAAAATGGGCATTATCATTACTCCCCAAGGTAACACATCTGGTTAACAGCAGGGTTGGAACTCAGAATGACCTTGGCATCCATGAGGTGGGATTGACAAGGGTCCCTGGTCACAATGAAAAGAGGCTTGTCATCTTACCATTTGCCCTTCAAAGCCCCTTTTCAGTTGCTGAGTCACAGAGTTTATGAGACTATTGTCGAGTCTTCTAGGGTCCAGCTATTTGGTTTCTATTTATTCTCCCTGTCCCTAGATTGAGTCCTGACCTTGGTCACAAATTGAGGCCTGACCCTGGTCACAAACCAAGTCCTGCCCCTGCCCCTAGTCTGAGCCCCAACCTTGGTCACAAGCTCCCCCTTCTCCACACTTGTCTTTGGCCAGGCACCAGCTTCCCTATTCTTTCCCATGAGGGGGGAACCCAAGGTTATGTTGTAGTGTACCTAGCACGTATGAACCATCTCTCCATATGGTCAGTGACTCTGGGAGACAGGGTCTGGAAAACAGGATCTCCCCAGCTAATGCTAAGGAAGCCCCAGGCTCATTCATTCTTAATCCTCACCCTACCCTAGATCACACAATGGACCTGGGCCTGTCTCTTCTCCATCTCTGTGCCCAACCAGGCTGTCTTTGAGTGCCATCCCCTCCCCACCCAAAGTGGCCCGTAAGGCCTAATATCTGAGTATCTATTATATGTAAACCCATGGCTCTAGTACACTATGTGATTTAACCTGATCCCTAAAATCCCTAAAACAGCAGTTCTTGAATCTTTTTTTGTGTGATAAACTCCTTGGCGGTCTGGGGAAGCCTATGGACCCCTTCTCAGGAAATGTTTTTAAATGCATAAAATAAAATACAGAAGATTACAGAAGAAATCACTTATATTGACACTGTTATCAACAGATAATAAAAATAAATTCACAGACCCCAGGTTGATTAGGATATCTCAGACCCCTCATACGTCATAGGGATGCTCCAGACTCTCACCATCCCTATCCCCTAGAACATTCCAGGATGCTCAAACTCTTCTAAGGGGGCCCTAGACATGTAAGGATGGGCCAGTCTCTCACACATCCATGAAATGGCTGGGCCCCTACGCTTGTTAGGTACTAGACCAGGGGTGGGGAACGTGTGGCCTTACAGCCCCGTGTGGTCTTCTAGGTTCTTAAGTGTGGCCATTTGACTGACTACAAATTTTACAGAATAAATCCAAAAGGATTTGGATTCAATCAAATGGCTGCACTTAAGAACCTAGAAGGTCACATGTAGTCTTAAGGCCGCACATTCCCCACCCTTATACTAGACACATCTCCTTTTTTCACTAGGGATGTCAATAGGTCCCTGCTCTCCCATAGAAAACCTCAGTCCTTCAATGCTACCCTAGGAATATCTCAGCCTCCTCAACTCCTCCTTGGGAGATGGGGTGTGCTTCCTATTAACTGAGTCCCTGAGCTCCTGACACCTTCTGAGGATGGCTAGGTTCGAGGTCCTTCTCCCCTTTCCCCCAGGGATGCCATGGGCCCTTTAAACCCCGTAGGGATGCCCCGGTTTCTCATCTCAGGAATTCTTCAACTCTTCTAGGGGTGCCACCACTATTCCCACTCCCTAGGAATGTTCTGGGTCCATTTATACTTCCTAGAGACTTCTCTGCCCCTCACACTTGAAATGGTGCTGAGCACCTCAGAGCCCCTAGGGATGCCCCACCCACCCACACTGTGCCTCACCCCCATGCTCCCCAGACCTGCAGCCAGCCAGGGTTTAACGACTGAAGCTTCAGGGAGCAGATCTGTGTCTCCAGCCTAGTCAACATTCTCCTGCTGGTGCTGTGCCAGGTCTGGTTGGTAGATGGCCTTGAGGTCTCAGGCTGAGGAGTAGAGCAGAGAGGAAACCCCCCCCCCCCCGCAGCCACATGGGGCCTGACACCATTCCCCCTTACCCCACGAGGCTATACCCCCAAGGGAGGGCACAAGCAAGCGAGCTGCTGTTCCTACCAGCCCCCTCGGGCCCTGCCAACTCGTCTCTCATTTTCTGTGCCAACAGGTGAACATGGTCATCGGGATCTTGGTTTTTAACAAACTTGTGTCCAAAGACGGGATCACAGATAAAAAGCTGAAGGAACGGGCAGGGTAGGCGGCCTCATTCTTTCCTCTGAGAAGATGAAAAAAAAGTGTTTTGTTTTGTTTTGAAACACTGAAACTACACACACAAAAAAACCCTCCAAGTCCCTGAAGACAATTTTGATTGATAACCAAGCAGCAAGATGGGATCCAAAGCCAGAGGCAGACCATGGGGTGGAGTGAAGGGTGGGGGTGGGGAAGAGACCCCCTGGGCATCTGCCCTGCATGGGCAAATGTGGGCACAAGGGGTGGCTGGGCAAAGCTGAGCTGGGCTCCCCAGGGCCCTATGTCTCTATTTTTATCTTCTCAGCCCATCAGTGAAGGTTTAGGAAACACGTAATGTGTGCCCAGGAGAGCTATTGGGCAGCTTAAGTCAATCTGGCCCATTTGGTGCCTTAGTAGACCTGAAATCAGGAGACCTGGTTTGAGTCCCTGATCTCACATGACTTACTTTCCAGGAGACCTTGGACAAGTCTCTATTATCTAGTTCTCAGTTTCTCTGTAAAATTGGGGGGGCGTTGATTATAGAATCTTCCAGGTTCCTCATAGCCCCATTTTTCTGTGATAACACTTTATCAAGGGCTATATGTACTTGGACAGATCATATCATTTTTCAAAGCTACTCCTCTCCCTTTATCCTCAGGGCAAGCCTGGGGGGGGGGGTAGGATTTTTTCTCCTGCTTTACACAGATGGAGAAGGAGACCTAGAGAGGGCCAGAGACTTGCGTGAGGTCACACAGAGAGTCCTATAGTGGCCCAAGAAAGAGTCCTTTCTGACTCTCCTGGGAAGGGAGGGGCTGATGCCTTAGCTGGCCAGTGATGGATCTCATTTTGTTGTTGAAACTTGCCCCCTTGTTCCCCAGCCCTGGAGCTCCCCAGCCCCGTCTCCGTTTCTTGGTGCCACTCTGTTTCTGTGTGTGTGTCCGTCTGTCTGTCTGTCCAGGAAGGTCTTTAGCATTCTGCCTGTTAGGAGGTTTGCAGCCCGGTGCCCACCTCTCCCTACCCCAAATACTTTCGCCCTTCCTCTGTCCCTCTGCCTCTCTCCTCATTCCTCTCTACCCTGCCTTCCCCCCAGCAGTGGGCAGCACACTGCCCCTTCCACAGCCCCACACGCAGGTAGTCCACTCACTCAACTTTAGCCTTTAGCCATTAGCGCCCCCTGCTCCCGGCTTTTAACCTGTGGTTCTCACCTTTCTGGCCCCTGCCTCTTCCCTCTTCCCCGAGCCCTCAGTTCTCAGCACTGATTCCTTAGTTCTCTACCCTCTGCCCTCAGCCTGTAATCCTCAGTCCTATGCCCTCAGCCCTGTGCCCCCCGGCCTATCAGTTCTCTGCCCTCAACCTTTCACCTTTGATTCTTAGCCCTCAGTTCTCAGTCCTTTGCTCACCCTGGTCCCAGAGCTGCCCTGAGTGACCCTACACAGGAGGGGTGCTGGTGACTAGGGTAGAAGAGTCTGGGAATTCCCTTGGGGGGGTAAGTGGGCAACCGCAGTGGCACCGCCATCTCCCATCCTGATCCTCATTCATAGGTGTGCACACGCATACATACACACACAGATACACAGTAACAGTAATAATACCTAAGACGTACATTTCCGTATGTCTATACATATATACATATATACATATATATGGCACCTGAAGGTTTGCAGAGGACCTCACATATACTGGATTATTTCATTTGATGGTTACAACAAATCTATGAAACAGGTGCCATGAAAGTGCCCAAAGACCCACCAGCGCAAAAGGGAATCCAGCTCCCTAAGCTCAGGGTCCTCCTTGTTCCTCTATCCAATTCGATCCAATTCCACAAACATTATTAAGCATTCGCTCTACCCAACTCCCTTTGCTCACAACTAGAAGAGAGGCTGTTAAGCAGGTCACAGCCTTTGCTGTCGATGAGCTGTGACCCAAGAGAAGGGCATGATTTTGATAAACCACAGTGCAAGGAAGAGGAGATAAGTATAAAGGTGAGGTCCGGGTAATGATGGGTTATAAGCAATCTGAGGAAGCGGAGATCGACTGGTAGAGGGGACAGAAGGCCAGGCAGGATATCAGAAGACCTGAGCTTGAGCTCAGTGATGGGTGAAAGGTTGTGAAAAATACTTCAAGTGAGAAAGGCAAATGTTAGCCTGATTTTCAAAAGAGGGAGGAGAACGGACTCTGTAGCCCATGGCACAGTGAAATGGACTTGGGTTCTTGGCAGAATTCTAGGACGTGTTAGTAAAAGGATAGTTAATGAACTTCTAGAGAAGGAAGCAGTGATCAAAAAGAATCACCATGACTGTATCAGTCAGTCAATCAACGTGCCTTTATTAAGCATCTGCCATGTACCAATATAGTGGATGAAGAGCTGCTGTTGGAATCAGGAAGACCTGTGTTTACATCCCTCCGTGGCCACATCCTGACTGGGTGGCCTTGGGTGAGTCCCCTAACCTCTCAACATCACAGGCCACTTAATAGCCGCCAAAAGGGGGATATCTACATTGGTAGAGGAAGTTTCTCAGCTGATGCTCTCTACATTGACAGAATCCCAGGTATGCTTTTAAAAAAAAGTTTCCAGGCCACCTTTGCAGGTCTGTGCCAAGTTATGAATACAAAAATGAAGCTGTCTTCTCAAGGAGTTCATGTTCTAATGGGGGTAGTACCGTATGCATATAATTATATTCAAAGTAAATCCAGTGGCGGGGAGTGGGGGGGGCAGAGTCTGGAAACACTAGCAAGCTAGGGGAATCAGGAAAGGCCTCAGCTAGAATGTGGTACTTGAACCAAAATTTAAAAGAAACTAGAGATTTCCAGGCTTCAGGGACAATCTCTACAAAGGGACAGAAGAGGGAATTTCATGTGGGAGGAACTAAAAGTCAGTTTGGCTATGTAGGACAGCAATGTATGTGTGTGTATATCTAAGTATAGATATATATGCTCTCTCTGTGTATACAATGCATGTATGTAAATATATACAAATAAGGCTAGAAAGATTTATTTTTCATATATATGTACACATATACACAGGTGTATATGTACACATGTACAACCTTTGTGTGTCTATACACATAGATATGAACTTATACATACACGTGCACAACCTATGTGTGTATATATACACATATGTGTACATACATACACATACATATATATAGTATGTATACATACATACACATAGTAGAAAGGTAAGTTGGAGCCAGTTTGTAAAGCACTTTTCATGCCAAATAAAGGAGTTTACATTTGACCTTAGAGGTAATGGGGAGGTCCTAGAGTTTATTGAATAGGTGATTGACATGATCAGGTCTATGCTTTAGGAAAATTACCAAGAGCAGATTGTGCTACACTAACCTTTTTTTTTTTTTCAAATAAGATCAAGGGATTTGGCAGATCAAGGAAATGCTGCAGATAACATTTACTCAGATTTTAGCAAAGTATTTAATAAAGAATTACATGATATTCTTGTGGAAAGGGCGAAGATGTGTGGTCTAGGCAATAGTTCAGTTAATTGGGTTCAGACCTGGCTGGATGTCCAGTGACTTGGGTAGCCATTCATGGTTCAATGCAAAAAGAGGTTGGAGGTCTCCTGGGATCTGTGCTGCTTAACCTTTTAAAAAAATTAATGATTTGAGTAAGAGATCATACTTGCATGTGACGTAAAGCTGGGAAGAATAGTCCAGATGCTGGCTGGTGGAGTCAGGAATCAAAGCAAATCTTCACAGGCTGGAATATTGTCCTGAGTCTAATGAAATGAAAATGAATAAAGGACAAATGCAAGAGCTTATTCTTGGGTTTAAGAAATCAACTCCAGAAACATAAGACTGTTAGCAGCAGTTGATCTTTTTGTCTGAAAAAGATCAGGGGATTTTAGAGGACCACAGGCTCAAAATGAGACAAGAGTAGGATATGGCAGGCAAGAAGTATAATCTGAAGCTGCATCAAGTGCGGAATCGTGTCCAGAATAAAGGAGGCAAGAGCCCCCTTGTTGCCCACTCCTTTTCTCGAGTTCCACATTCATTCCTGAGTGCCACATTTTAGGAAGCCCATCACTGAGTTGGGTCAAGCCAAGAAGGAGGCAACAGGATGTTGAAGGGTTTTGAGTTCATGCCAGAGGAGGATGCGTTGAAGAAACTGGGAAAGTTAGTAGTTTTTTACTTGTTGTACTGGGGGGAAAAAAAGGATCAATGAGGAGCAAGAGAAAGAAGCCGTAGATATGTACATCGAGGATCAATGTCAGGGAGAACTTCTTAAAGAATTAGATCTGTCCTGGAGTGAAATGGGCTGCGACAAGGTGGGTCGCCCTTACCTAGAGGTCCTGAAGCAAAGGGGCTGCCTGACTCTGACCCTCATCACCTCTGTGACCTTGTGCAAAGTCCTTTCATTTAAAGTGACAGTGGAGGAGATGATCCCTCTGGTCACGTCTGGCCCTAAAGCTAGTAATCCTTTGACCTTTATCTGGGGCCAGAGGAATGTGAAGAGAGGCTTCTAGTGGAGATGGCCCCCCGAGTGGGGCGGGGAAGGAGGGTAGTGACTACAGCAGATGGACGCGAGGTGGGCCAGGAGCTTCTGCATCTTTAGTGCTGCCTGTATCCCTCCCTGGGCAGCTGGGTGGTGCAGTGGAGAGAATGCTGGACTTGCACTCAGGAAGACTCATCTGCTTGAGTTCAAATCCAGCCTCAGACTCTTGTTACTGTATGACCTTGGGCAGGTCACTTCACCCTGTTTGCCTCAATGTCCTCATCTGTAAAATGAGCTGGAGAAGGAAATGGCAAACCACTTCAGTATCTTTGCCAAGAAAACCCCAAATGGGGTCACAGAGTGGTACGTGACTAAAAAATGACTGAACAACAAGTATCTCCCCCCCTCTCCCCCTCAGTGCTGTCCAGATTCTCTTAGCTTCAGTCCAGACACCCTCTTCCTTCCTCAGCTCTTCCAAGACAGGGAAGAGTTTTTCCCCAAAAAAGAGATTTAATAGTAGTAATGATAGCTGACGTTTAGATAGCATTTTTAAAGAATTTTTTAAAATTTTA